TTAGGCACATACATGGTGTACATACATACATGCAGGCAAATACACATAGATACAAAACTAAAATAAATAAACCTTAAAAAAAAAAAGAATACAGGGTCTAGAGAGATGGCTCAGCAGTTAAGAGCACTGCCTACTCCTGCAGAGGACTCGGGTTTGATTCTCAGCACCAACATGGTGGCTACGAACCATCCTTAACTTCAGTTCCAGGGGAATCTGAAGCCCTCTTCTGATCTCCGCAGCATTGCACGACATGGGTGCACTCACATACATACAAGCAATACACTCATACGTATAAAATAAAAATAATCAATAAAAATATTAAAAAAGGAGAACAGAATCAACAAGATAATAGCTCAAAAATACTACAGTGGGCAGAAAGTTTAAGGTAGTACATTGTGAGGATCAGGGTGGGATTCATGATTTAATTTGCCAGTTAGAGGTTGCTGTGGTTTGGAAGATTGTCCCCTAAAGGCCTATGTGTTAAAGGATTGGTCCATAGTGCTATTAGGAGGTGATGTGGGATTCTAGGCATGGCCTTTGGGGTGAGCTTAGGACCATGGTGGGTATATCTTAAAGGGGGACTCTGGGACTCTTGTTTCTTTTTTCTCTCTGTTCGTGGGCTAATATTAGAGGTGAGAAGTTTCTTCTACTATGTGTGCTCTCATTAAAGTCTCCTAAGCAAATGAGTTCACTCAGTCTTAGACTGGAACTTCTGGAACTGTGAGCCAAAATAAGCTTCTCTTATTTATAAGTGATTTGCCTCCGATAAAGTTAATTGCTTCAGGTATTGAATAGAACCTCCAGAACCATGAGTCTAAACAAATTCTCTTTCCTCTTTGTTAGTTAACAGCCTCAGGTATTTCAGTACAGTGACAGAAAACTGACTAGTCCAATGACAATGAAGATTTATCGGTCTCAATTTCTCAGAAAGCTGGCTTTGACCTGAAAAGCTGTTACTCCAATAGTCCTGCTGACATAATGACCACCCACTCATGGCAGAGAGAATCTTGAACAATCCTAGTAAGCTCAGCCTCACAGGGGGCCTAGAGCTATGGGCTAAAATTAATTCCTCATATTCAACTCATCTTTCCACCTTCCCTCCGTTGTCCTTACTACTGTATTGTGTAGAGGTAGCAATCAAGCTTTTATAAGGCACATTGCTCAGTGCCTGGATGATAGCTCTGGGCTGATTTTTCTTTTATTTCCCTTTCCTGTTTCTTAGGCTTTCTATGTTCAGGATCAGAGAAAAAGTCACTTTTGAGTTCCATCTCCCAGAATTAAGTGATATAAGGTCCCAATTGCTGTAGAACTATTTCCATTTTAGAACCTCACTGATTCACAAAAAGCCAGGGATACATGCCCTGTGTCCAGCTGAATTCTAAATATTTCATGGTGGAATGTATCAATGAAGTCACATAAACTCCTCTAAATGGCCATGAAAAGATTCAAGAGCAGACTCATTCATCCTACTGCACAGTTGACTCATTCAGATGTGGTGGGCAGGGGTGACTCTGGAGAATGTGACCTCAGAATGAGACAACTTAAGTGAATATTTTGTAGGAAAAGCTGTATATTAAAGCACTATCTCCTTAAAATACTCAGTGTTCTCAGTTGAATCGTGAGAGCACATTGCTATCATTAGGAGGAAAACCTGGACTCATTCAAGCTAATACTTTTTTTCTTTCCTTAAATGTGATTTTTTTAATCCACATCTCATGACAACCACCTTTGTGTGGTCACTGAAATGGACATTTATATAAGACACTCGTGAACTCCTCTAAATAGCTTCTAATGGTTTACTGTTGATATAATGCATTGGAAAGGGAAGCATATCATATTTTGTAGGAATCATGTCAAGATTATCTAGGTTGGTGGCTTTGTTTTTTGATGCCCAGATATAGAGGTCACTCTGGTGTCTTAGTTTAAAAGATATTACTTTTTCAAGATTGAACTAACAATACCATACTTTTAGTTATAAGGATTCTTTCAATAACTAAGGTATCCACTGTCTAAAAGATGAGCAACTCTTAGGAAGTCTTTAGAGACCTTTGCAATGTGATACTCCAGTAAAGAAAGAAAGAAGTCTAAGGGGGCACAAGAAAGATACTCAATTATAGTTTTGTATTTGTGAAAACATCCTCTAACTTATATGGGAGCAATGGTGGAATTTGGGCCCAACTGAGAAGGGGGGGACCAGGTCTTAATTTTGTCCCTCATTTGCTTACTGTGTTATCTTTGGAAAGTGATAGCATCTGTATAGGTGTCAGTTTTGATTTGAAATGAAGTATAAAAATATCCACTTTCTCCAACTTACAGGCTATTTAAGAGTCAAAATGAGACAGATGTGGTGGTGCATGCCTTTAATCCCAGCACTTGGGAGGCAGAGGCAGGTGAATCTCTTTGAGTTCAAGGCCCGCCTAGTCTACACAGTGAGTTCCAGGTCAGCTGGGGCTACAGGGAGATCCTGTCTCAAAAAGACCAAAAAAAAAAAAAAAAAAAAAAAAGAGTCATATTTGGTACTACAGCCAGAATCTGCTGTGTGCTGATGTGACTTACTAGACTTGTGCTGAGTTTTCCACGTGTGTTTTCTCTCACTAAATCAGCACATTAACTCTCAGTGTATTACTACATCCTCAGCATCCAGACAAGGAACCAGAGGGGGGCAAGTCTCAACAACTAACATAAATTTCAGAACTAGATTACCAGCTTGAGAAAATAAACACTTAGAGAACCAGCAAAATACAAAGGACAATAAATGAGAATTTTGGGAGAAAGAATCTGATATATTCTCAAAGTGTTATAGTAATCATCAGAGGAGAAAACCCAGAACTGTTAGCAATTCTTACCTTTATTTCATGGTTCAGTGTTATTATATTTTGAATTATATGAGGGGAAAGGCACCACATCTTTCAATGCTTAGGGCACTACAAGGTCTTAATCTGGCTGCCTGAGGCATACACTGATACAATCAAGTTCTTAACTCATCAGGTGGCTCCAAGGTCTGTATTTCTGACTGCTAGACTCTACTCTGCCCTATGATAATAACATTTATTATTACTAAATGAGAGTTACCAGTGATGATAATAGTCTGCAGGAAAAGAACTGCCATTAAAGAAAGGTTTACTCTGCTCTGAAAACATACAGGAAGCAACCCATAATTTGGAACCAAACACACAATGAGAGCCTTGCACAGAAAGAGTCACCAGTGTCCTAATGTATCTGTGGCTTTAAAATGACCATGAAGAAGCCTTCTCATTGCTGGCAGCACATTTGTGGATTCTCTACTGGCTTTGCGGAAGTGGTTAACATCATTTTAGAAATCTTTGAAATTCTTAACAGAAGCACAACATACCCTACAGCAGCAATTTTAGAGCCAATGCTAATATTCATGGAGAGAGATTGATTTTTTTCTTATAAGGAAATAAATGAACAGTTTTTAAGATCTCTGGCTATTTTGGTTCCTCTTGCTTCTCCTGCCCCACCACCACATCCCCCAGGGTTTAAGCAAGCAACGACTGAAAATCAAGTCTATTAGTGTTCAGGGAATTTAGCTGTTGATAAAAATTCAAAGTCACTTCTAACACTTCTGGCTTCCTTCAAGTGCTCAAAGATAACCCCATAAGACCATTTTTATGACTTAATCTAAAAAATACTAACAGACCCCCAGCAATGGCTAAGCTAGCTGATATTTTGAATCGGAATGACAGTTGAATGGGTGGATGAGACTTTTTTTTTCTTCAGTGCCTTGGGAGATTGACTTGCAAAATTCTTAGACAAGAAACAGGGAGAATCTGAAAATGAGGGAAGAACCAAGCAGCCCATACTTCAGATTGGCTTTAAAGATTTTAATGCTGATTCAAAGCATGAAAATAAAATCACGGCCTTTAAGCTATTCAAAGAATAGTAATAACCTGGACCACAAATAGACAAATTTACTTTGAATATTTCTTTCAAGCATGATAATTATTAACTAAACAGCTCAGACTCTGGAAATGTAATTCAGGCTTCATTATCCCTGCTCTCATCTCGTACTGCTAAGAAAGAGAAAAACAGCGAGAGAAAAATGGGGGATTTGAAGCCCTGGATAGTTAGACACTTATCTTGTCCACATTAGTGGACAGTGCAATGTCCTGAGCTATTTTCTGTCATCCGTCCATTAAGTTACGATGCAATTATGGAGTAAAAGCCCCTTGGCTAGGTATTTTCCCTTCTTGTCTTGGTGCTTTTATGGCCGGGCTTAGGACTCTTGGGTGAAGCAGTGAGAGATGAGAGAGAAAGCTAAGGGATTAGTTGAATGAGCTCCTTTAAAGACGGCAACCCTTTCTGCCCTTGCCCTTGATTCGGCCATCTGGCTCTGGGAGCTTGCTGCTACATGCTTCAGGACTGTGAATTTCAAACGCATGATTAACCTCTCTCTCACTCTCATTCCTGCTCAGAAAATGACTACTAGGACCAGTCTCTAAAGATCAACTCAGGGTTAGTATAAGTAAGAGAAAAACATTTGACAAAATAAAATAAATTAGAAAATTCCACCCTTAGTTTTCCTCATTGCTCCCCAAGACTTATCATCATGAATTCAAGTTTAATAAACCTCCTTTTATACTCTCTCTGTCACTCTCGCCATCTGCACCTGGAATCATACCTAAGGGCATAGCACCACATCTAACTGCACAGCACCACACAGTCCAGAGCTCATGTTCATTATCCTGTGATTATTGACAACTCCTCACAGCAAAGATGGTTTCCTTCTCTCTACTGGGAAACCAACAATATTTGGCTTCAGTATGAACCAGTCAGGCAACATTGGCCAAAGACTGGCAAGCAATGTTCAGTGCATAGTTAATACGTCTCCAGAAGCTCTCTACACTGCTGATGCCCTAAAGAAATAACACCTTTTCTCAGATAAAAGGCATGGACAAATGCTTTGCTCCTAAACTGGTAACAGTCATGAAAATTTGCCATATAGAGGTGAGGGTAGAGTGCTAACGAGAGGGTGTTACCTGTAGGATAATGCTCATTCACCGGCCAGTTGTCCACCTGCAGTGTGGCATTGCCCCCATTCCTGGTGAAGCGCACCACATGGTATTTGCCGTCATTGACAGGGGTTCTCTCTTCTTTGATGGAGATATCAACTGTGCCAATATTGAAGACAACTCCAATTTTTCCCTGTTCCTGTAATAAAGAAACACAAAGGGCATGATTATCACTGACCACAAGGTTTGCTCCCTTTAAAGTTGATCCTCCAACTAGCAATAAACCTGTAGGTGCCCAGAGAGAGCTGTCAGTATGGAGTGAATAATAGGATCCTATATTTCTCCATGGGCTTTTATCTTGAACATAAAAACACCAATGGTATAAAGCCACCCAAATTGCTCTCACAGGCCACACAATAGAGGTTACACCATTCAGTTGCCCTAGTGGATATCAGGGTAGAATAGTAGAGCTTTCTGACCTTGAGGTATAATACTGAAATGGTCATTTCTCTAAGAAGAATTGTGCTTATTTCCTAAGAGAGGCTAATAAGACACTGTATTCTAAATAATTTCACAGTTAAGATTTAGGATTAAAGAGGAACTATAGGCCTGTTTTTATGTTTTGGGGTGGTCAAAGCCAAGGGGAGGGATACAGAATTGTTAAGAGCCAATGGCAGAGAAAGTCACATTATAGGCCAAATCCTTGAAGATTTTCTTTACAGATCCAAGCAACATTAAAAAGGTATTTTTAGCAAAGGGCAATGAAACAGAGCTGCTGTCTGCAGAATCATATGACTGCCAACCCTTCCACAGTTATCGTCCCTCTCAGGTTAATCCAGAGAGGTGCACTAGTGTGACAGCCTTTGTTAAACAGCAGAAGAGAACATCTGTAGCTCAGAAAGGCTTGGAGGAAGAGAAACTGCAATGCATTCTGGAGGAGGAGCGTTATAGTCATGAAATTGAAGATGATGGAGATTGTGACATGGTGGAGATGAGATCATCCACCTCCAGTGAAATGTCTGGAAACACTGAACCATACATAATAATACTATTAAAACTCTTACTATTTCTCTCTAATAACTGGTTATGTGTAAGAGTTAGAACTAGTATTTATTCACAATGAAACAAAATGAAAGTGGCCTTCCTGGTCTGATATAATCAGCTTCTCCAACCCTCTTGGAATGGCATAACAGCTTTGTGTAATACCAGAAAGGATAGGGCAAGGGAGAAGAGAGAATCTTTCCACCATTTCCGTAGTTGTTTGGATTATTTGCCATAGGTTGGGCCTTGAAGATAATAAAATTTAGATGTAATTCTGATATTTACAAGGCTGAGTCACAGTATTTTTTCTGTCTTATTCATATTTGTTTGATCAATAAAAAGTCAAAAGAGGAGACAAACAGGGAAAAGGAGGAGGAGGAAAAGGAGGAGAAGGATGAGGAAGAGAAGAAGGAGGAGGAGGAAGAGGAAGGGGAAGGGGAGGAGGAAGAAGAGGAGGAGGAGGAGGAGACCATAATCCACATAGTCTAAGTTCTGGGAAATAGTTAATAGAAGCTCAGATTCCATCATTCATTCATTCACTCATTCACATACACAAATACAGGTTTATTAAGTATCTAATATACTCATAAGTAAGGATTTCTTTTAGGATGGACCCTTGTTTTCCTATACTTTGGTACATTTCACTTATTTTCTCCAAAATATGCGTTCCTCAACTTGTAATTAGTCTTTTTGTGTCCATTATTATGTAAATACATATTATACCCAATTAAGAAAAAGACAAGTGCCCAGAAGTCTTGACCTTAGAAGGCAGCAATGTAGGCAGACTGATAAATCACACCATGAGCACTCAGGAAAGCAGATCTAGGGTGGGTATCATTGTTGCCTTTGCTCCCTGAAAGCATGGCCTGGGATGTAAACTGATTGCTCACTTTCTGTGCTCTGTGATAAGTAATCCAGTACTTCCCCATGTGGTAGCTAAACACACTGTTTCCTAAATTTCATTCATTGGGACCAGTAAGCTCTCAGTTTTATTTTGGTTCATTGGATATCGCCATACTAAACAAGTACTTAGCACTGAAAATGACGCATGGAAAAGTGAATATTATTATTGTGGGTCCTTTGTTACATTGTTCTTGCCCATTTTTAATAATAATATGATGTATTTTATACTTTCTCTTTGCTTTTGAAGGTATTGGGAAATGACAACATGAATTCTCTGCTCTTTATTAGAGAATTGACACTCAGCATTCATTCATTTCCAAGGGTGTGGAGTGAGTGGCTGGGTGACTGTGCCCTCATACGTAAACAACGGAGGCAACAGTAGGCTGCATCATAACATGCTTACGGAATGAATGAACGGTAGGAGTTGAGAAGCCACAACTTCAGATGCTGTGACTCCTCTGCTTACCCTAGACGTGGGCGGCGTATTACACTACAATTCTTCTACGAGAAACTACTACATAAATTCTGGATGCATGGAAAAACCTTCTGGTGATTCAGTTCACCTCTGAGTCACTAATTAATCATGGACAGAAAACAGTTTTAGGGGGGAAAGGAGACCCTTTAGCGTTCTGCAGCTTTTCAGTGACAGCAGGGGCAAAGTACGTTCCTGGCTCAGTGAGTTGGCTAATCAGCAAGATATGTTCTTGGGCAGATTTTCTGCAAGATCCATAAAAGATTCAGGAAAAGAAAAGATTTAATCTCTGCCAAAATAAATATTTGGTCCTTATCTTAGGCACCACACATTTGCCATTAGAATCACTGTTTCTGAAAGATCTTCCTAATCCTGTTAGCACGTTGCCAAATTCAGCGCGGATCCTCACCCATATGTTTCATTTCATCTCCCACAGTAGTAAATGTGGCTGTGCTAGACCTCAGATGTGGTCTTTTTATTCTCAGTAATAAAATTTCATCATCACAAACTCCTTGTTATTTGTCATGGGACCACAGTGACATTATAATCTGTGGCTAACTGCTTTGTTTCAGTTTATTGTAAGTCATGGAAGCCTTGCAGCAAACACCCATATAGTTGCCCAGGCTGGAATCCATCATGTGCAACTGCCATGAAAATAGGCTCTGGTGGCTCATGTGTGCACAGAGAAGATGTGAGAGGTAAATGCATTAGCTTTGGTGTCAGCCCTGACTGACCTTGAACAAGTTACCTAACTATTCTGAACCCTTCTCTTGATGATACACTATGGACAAGGTATCAGTTTTAGAATTTTCAAAGGACTATTGTAATGAAATGATATGACTAATATGGAAACTATAGTCCCCCCCTTTATATTAATGTGCGTGTGCTTCTAAGTGTATGCAGGTACATATATGTGTGCGCAGGTGTATAAGTACATCCTACATGTGGGTGAGGAAGCCGGGGGACAACCTCAGGTGTCTTCTTTGAAGCAGGGCCTCTCATTGGCCTGAAACTCACCAATTATGCTAGATTGGCTGGCCAGTGTGCCCCAAGTATTATCCCCTTTCTGTCTCCCCTGCACTGGGGCTCAGAGAGCTCCCACCATGCCTGCTTTCTATGGATGATTAGGGATTGAATTCAGGTTCTTGGGTTTGTGAGACAAGAACTTTAATGAGCCAACCATCTTAGCCCTATATAATAGTACTTTATAATAACAAAACCTTACAAGAATATGAGATGAATGGATTCAGAGGGGAATATACAGTCAATTTCCCATAAATAATCAGCTGTGATTATTACAGATATTAATTAGTTCAATAAGAAGAACATAGGTTTTAGCACAGTATAATAAAATAATACCTCTGGCTCCTCAAACCTATGACTTTGGGCAGTTTCCTCAAGGGTGCACAGAGAGAGGGAGAGGCAAATTGCTGCCTCTGAAGCCTGCTGTGTGGATTATGTTCAAGCACTTGCCATGTGGCTAGGCATACTTCTGGACCTCAATAAATGTCAGTCCTCCTTCCTCTCGTTAGTATAATTGAAAGTAGCAGTATACGCTAAGCACTGCTCGGCTTGGCAGATGCTGTCCTCAAGATATATTGTGAAAATAAATGTAAATTTTAGCAAACAGAACATAAAAGTTTTTGCAAGGTTGATTTCCTGCCACAATTTGGTAGTTTCTATCTTTCAACATTCCTTGGTGTCTTTTATAAGCCTTTCTAAGACAAGCAAAGTGTAACAGCAGAAACAGCATGGCTATAAATTTTAATAACTCCATACACATCACCACTAAAGTTGCTACCAAGGCAATCACTTCAATCTATGTTCTTACTTGACATTAAAAACAAAGACACGGTAATTCAGGAAACATTACCAATCGTCCTCATGTGCATTCCAGAAAAACAAAAACAAAAGCCGACTTTTCCAGAATCAGCTGCATTTAGTAGCCAGTCATTCCTTAGCAATAGTGGCTGTTCATGAGCCCACCTGGTTCCTCAAATTAGGCCAGCTCCAGCTTTCTGGTCCTCAATCATTATTTACATTATGACTAATGCTGCTGAGTGATCCCCAGGATGCCACTAGCTCCAGGGTCAGACTTTAGGAGCAGAAATACACTGGGGCAAGAGAAAATCCTCAAGAATAAAGAGCTCCACAAAGGCTATCTCTTCATTTATTCCAGAGTGCCCCTGGGGAAGGCAGAATGTACCATCTGCTATTTCAGAAAGCTGTAGCTGACAGAAACAAAATGGAGGTTCTCAGATGTATGCCAAGGAGGTGTGCACTGGGAACAGTTCTCAATGCCATCACTGCTAGGCTTAGTTCAATGCTAGACAATAACCTAATGAAAGCAATGTGTAAATGATGTTTCCTGTGCCTATGTACCACGAGGCCTTCTGCAACCATTTTGAGGTCTGGTTCCTACATCACAAAGTAATTAATGGTTCTGTTCACCCCATTTTTCTAATTCTCCTTATTACAAGCTCACACTAATAGCAACCTTTTGTGTCTGTTTGTGATAGATGGGGCCAGGATCAACTAATACATTGAATGTCATTGTTCAGCTACACACATAATTGGTAGTATGAGACCCACCACTGTCCTCTCACTACTGTGAACCACTGTATCCAGCAAACTTCTGGTTGTGGTTGCTTTGCCAGACTGACTGACTGAATGTAGATGTCACCGACACAGGAGACACAGGAGGTGACTAAGGAACAAAGCTTGTGTTCTTTGAGTCACTGATGTTCAGGCTATCACTGCAACATGACCCAGGCTATCTGAAT